TATCATTGCTTACCAACTCACCGTGTAATATACATATATATTTTATACCTTTTTTCTTGTTATTAACTAGTAATATTGTGCAGGAACAATATTACCTCCCGAATAAATCTGCATCGCCGAGAAACGAGTTCAACAGAAAAACAGTTTCCCAACAGGTGTAATCATTCCTTCACTTGGATGTTTAGTTGGCCAAACTACATACTCACTGTTCCTCGCAACCTTTTTCCTTTTCCACTTTTGTATTATTTCTCTTCTAATTATTAAAAGATTGCTCACTTTTGGACTCTACGATATGTTTCTGATAAGTCCAGTTCTTTGTTCACTTTCAAATTTTTTTAAAAAATCTTTGCTGTTTTTAAAAATTTGACATCAAACGCATTGCGCATATCTTTTCCGTAGGAAGAATTCTTTTTACAGCATACATTAGGAATAGATAAAGGAATGAAATATCACTATCACTAAAAGTCTATTTCTCTGTTAATATACCGCCACTTCCTGTGCATGACATTGTTGTGAAATGTCAAAAAAGTGACGATTTTTCAATCCATTTTGCCTATTCCTTCTCTTTTTTAAAGTAATATTTTATTCTTCTGTCAATTTTTATTTTTTTCCAACAAAATCATTTGACGAGAAATTTGCTTAGCAAGTTTCAATGACTGATTGGACTTCAATGACTAAAAATTTTCGCTGAATCTTTTCAACAACGATAACTTCTTGTTATTTCCTTTAAAGAAAAAACTTTGAAGGAAAAATGATATTGACTTTTTATTATCATGCCGATGATAAAAGATTGCACCGACTTCTAATGAATACAGTATTGCACTGTGGACTGCTCCTTTTAATGAATACAATAGTGCATTGTGGATTGCATCAACTTTTAGTGAATACAATAGTGCACCATACTAAGTTTTTTTAGTAGCGAACTTGTCCATTAGTACTCTCCAAATGTTTTGGGTTGTCAATGTATGCTCTCTTATCAGTATGGACTATTTCTTGCAAGAGATCATTTTCCCTTAGTTCCTTTTAATCCCTTCAGAATGCCTTATTAATTACTTTTAAACTTCACCACAGTAACTTACCAATTTTCTGTTGTCATTCAAAAACACCTCAACTTCCGATTGTTATGAAATCTTCTCAGGTACTCTACTATTAAATTGAATTATACGTGATTTATTCGATATATATATATATATATATATAAATTGAATTATACGTGAATTATTCGATATATATATATATATATATATGTGGATGTATGTCGCTAGCAATTACAATAAGATATTGCAGTGGAGAAATAAAACAGACAATTTATAAAACTGGTGCTTTTAATCGGACTTCCAAGATGACTTTGTACGTGGAACTTCTTAGCTTAATTCTTGCTGTTCACTGATAATCACTGTATTTAGCCAAGCACTTAGAAGAAATAATTTCCTTGTTTAATAAAGCTGAAGCAATTAAAAGAAATTTATTTGGCACCAAGGTTTGAGTTCTCTTTTCATTGTACAATTAAATTTGCTAACAATTAAATGCTTGCTTTGTAGAGGTTTTTCGAAATCATCACTGCTTGAAAGTTATCATTTAAAATAGCAGATCCGCAAAAAATCTGATTAAAAATTTCAATTTATGCAAATTGATTCAACAATTTCTATGATCCCCAATAAAATCCTTGGAAGAGACGAAGATGAGGCGAAATTGATCCGGATATTGAGAGACCTTGTTGATGATCGAATTTTGAAGGACCGCTATGGGATTTTATTTGTTTGAATAGTCCTTCCGAGCCAGACAATTGCTTGAGACCTGATTTTCAATGCAAAATATACATATCTTTTATTATAAAATCCATTTTCTCTATATCCAATCATTTCCTCTTATAATTCACACCTGTGTTTCATGTGCACTTTATCCTATTCTGTCTACTGCTTCCCGTGTAACTTGTTTCCTGTTCGATTATATACATCTCTATAAGTAACTACAGATTATTAAGTAATTATAGAATATTTCCAAACTCCATTCGGCTAAAAGATTCTATTCGAGACTCTAACTTGAAATGTTTAAGTTTTTAAAATGTTTATTAACTTTTTAAAAAATGCTTATTAACTTTTTGAAATGTTTATTAACTTCTCTAAAAGTCCAATAATAGAATTTCAAAAGTTGCAAAAACTATGTAGATGTATTTACTCTGATTCGCCTCACTGGAGAAATAGGAAAAGTAAAGTAATTTACTATTTAATTCATTATAGTCATACCTTTATTCGTGACGTGAGTGTAAAACTCGTAGACGACCTGAATAATTCGATATCATTGCGTCCTTAATATCGAGAACTTTCTAGAAAAGAAGATGGAGACAAAGAATGCATCTTATTTAATTCTTTTTGTAAGAAATTTTCAATTTCCAGACACTACTTTTAGTCAAGAAAAATTAATTTTTAGAAAACTCTTCTCTCTGCTTGATAGAAAAAATATGCAGGAGAGAGTTTAACTGCTACTGAATCTATCCCCAAGGTAAATGGAGATTGAGGATGGTTAATATCAAATTCTGACTTACCATCACCTGAGATTACAAGCTCTATAACTCTGGGAAAAGGAAAAAGGAAGTGAGATTATTGGAAAATATTATTTTGGCAAGTGACTGCATGAATTTATGACTAGACAGATGTAACGAAGTCAAGAAGGAATGTCCCGATTTGTCGAAATATTTGAAAGGAAAGATGAGAAAAGTTTCGTGCGGCTATAATCATGCACAGTTTTTTCGTATTTCCTTTCAAAAAGTCGCAAAATTCTTGTCATCTTCTTCAGATGTGTCATGTATCCATGTGTTCTAACACTTTCTTTTCCACTGCAACTTGTAGCGATCTGACCTAACCCGACAATTGACAGCCATTTTCTTTGTCCTCCTCTCATTCGTTTACTCTCTTTGGTTGAACGGTGTCCGTTTTTTCTATTTAAAATTCTTTCCTAACATCACTTTCTTTTGTAAATTTCTAAAAGTCTCATATCTCTAATAAAAAAAAATATTTCAGGCGAAAAAATGGCGGAATCTTGTCTCAGCGTTTATGCTTTAGATGAAATTGTTTACATTTGTTTTTCTGCTGTTTATTAGTAAAGCAAAAGATTCTTAACAAAACGATATTTTTTACTGATGACGCATTCACTAAAGAGTAACGGTGAAGGACTTTTTTTGATCTTCTCTTTCGTTTTGAATGATATTTCTTCCATGCTTGAACATCGGGGCACTTTTTTAATTATTTAATTCATCAAATGAAATAGCAGTTGATATAGACTCCACAATAAAACGAGTGAATTTGCAATATACGCTAACGCCAAAGCGCAGTTCAAATAATTCCCTGAAGTTACTATATGACTTTTACAGTCTTCATCGTAATCATGTTGTACCTGACTCTTACTTTCCTCAATTGTCTAAAAGTTTGCCTTGAATCATCCGAAATATTACTATGGACTCACGTCAGCTTGGTAGAGAAAAATGTAAAAACTGAAGTCCGTCCCTGTTTGTGACTGATGCTTTTTAAGTTTGCCATAGAGATTTTTGAGGAAATTACAAATCAATTACTTCACCTTACCCATACTGGTTCTTTCGTTTGGAATTTATTTATTTATTGTTTCCTCAATTTTTGATGTTATTTTTGAATTGCCTTTTCGCTTCCTTCAAAATGCAATTGTTTAACCTCTTCCATCCATACAATGAATGACACGCAGAAAATTTTGTTTGGTTTTTTTTTTTTAAAAAAAAGGAAGGAAATTGCTATAAAAAATTGAGCATTCCATAATAATATATTATATATTTCTTTATCTACTATATCTTTCTTTCCTCCTTATTAATGTTAATCTGTTTGCAATGAAAAAAGTAATATCTGTCCTTGCCAGAAAAACTAACAATGTCATCTGCAAAAGCTGTTCATTTTTGCCGTTGGCTATTAAAGAGTTCATGGTTTGAATTGAGAGCTGAAGAGTCTCTCAAACAGGCTTCAGAAAACTGGAATAGTAAGACATATGGTGTTAGAGTAGCAAGATTAAATTCTAAGCGAATTTGCAGCAATTTTCCTAAATGAATTCAATTCATAATTTTAAAATCATCTTGCCTTTTTTGGTCTATTCATTAAAATTCTCATCAGCTATCTTTTCACATTTCTTCTTTTTTTTTTATTACAGCTTTTCTTTTTGATACATTAAAAGAGGTGGAATAGACGAACTCATGTGCAAAAAATTTGTTATCTCTATAAATAAGCTGTGCCATTTTACAAAACTTTTTTAAAGTGCCAATTAAATTTTTTTCAAAGACACTTCTTCAACTGCTGATGCAATTTATTTGTGATCGTTTATGCAAGCACTGAGCATGAGAATAGGCATAAAAATCAACTCCGAATTATGAAATTATTAATAAATTAGACTTCTAAAAAACTTATTCCGTAAAATAACTGTTCAAAGGGAGAAGAAAATCAAGTTTGTTTATTGCGACTTTGAGTAATTATTTTGCAAAACAAATTTCGAAAAAATGCTTTAAAAAAACTCATTGTTGGGTACTACAACAAATAATATGGACTGGGGTGAACTGACTGTCGTATTGGCTGTTTTAAAATTGCAAAACGTCGAAGTGGCTATCATTTGGTATACGTTAAAAATGATATAAAAATGAAGGACAGAGCGATTAAATTAATTATATTTCTATAATGAGATGATATAAATGGAGAAAAAGAACCCTTCAGAATTGCCCCTCGTTGTGCAGTACTGTGAGGAAATATTTCGTTCTAATAATATCCTAATTTATGTAAATCAACAATAAAATAACCATTTAACTTTTCAGAATGGAACAATGCTCTTTTCGTGCAATTCTTCTCTTTCTTATCTTTGCTCATTTGAATTCCCAGAATCCGTAAGTTTATATGATATATTATTGTGGTGATAAAAAGAAAGAAAGAGGAAAGTTGCACAAATTCAAACAAAAAGTAAAAAGAATCAGTGAAATTACTCCTAGAAAACAAAAAATGTGTTATTGCAGCAGTATTGGAAATGAAAATGAAATCGACTTCGATAGACGAAAAGTTGTAAGTAAGTAAAGTTTGTATTTTATGGTTTTGAATTTCCTGAAAAGTTCATTTAAACTTAAAATTTTCTCCTTCTGCTGTTTCAAAATCGATTTTTACATTTCATTAAACGGAACCTCAACAGTTATGATTAAAAAGATAGAATTAAACAGGAAATCATAAATTCACGCCGGAAACTTGAGCCATTGAGAAGTGCGAATATGGACATTTTCTTTCCTTATCTTCCACCCCCAAAGCCTTCCATGGAGGACTCTCAGGATGTCCGTTTCATTAAGGTAATGCCTACTTTTCGCACGCGGTGACATCTTTCATTTCCGAAATAATGTTTGAAAGTTTATGTTTGTTGATCGTTGATTGATAGCATTACACTGCCTTTTGCAGATATTTTATTTGAGAAAATTATTTTTGTTAGACAGTACGGATATAAGAAAGAAGCCATAGAAAGTGTTGCTGTAATTGAGAATTGAGAAAGAATAAAAATAATAGGCTAGAGAAGTACACTAGCTTACAAACATATCTCAATGTTTGAACAGAATCTCTCATCAAAGGCTCTGCGATCAGATAACGAATCAAATATTAAACAGTGAAAATATTTGAAACCAATTTGGAACTTTTATGAAATTTACCTAAACTGACAAATCTCCACTTTCATACATTTACGTTGCATTTTAAATTTCAACATGTTTTATGCAAATCTCACATCAGAGATGTATTTGCAGTATTCAATCATAGTTTATTTTCAGCACTGGGACCAGCAAGAGGTGGTTTACAACGAGCAGTTTTCGATGAAGTTTTAGTAAATGACATCAACGAGTTAACTGGTCAGTTTTTTGTAACCACAGAAAAAATCAGCTAAATTTTGGCTTGCTTATATGTCCTACATTAAATCTTTTGCAACTTGTAAATAGAATTGATTTTTGGTTTTTTGAAACGAAATTTTCCAGTCCAATTAAATTAATAACCGATTTAAGAATCAGCTCTCTCTTTCATTTTTATCATTAGTCATATTAAATCAACATCTTTCAACGAAGCCATGGTAAAGCAATAAATCAACTGTGCTTTAGTTTTTTATTTACCTTTATAAGCTTTGTTTAACAATCGAGCAGGTTTTTAACGCTTAAAGTTTTAATGACAACCACCCATCTACAGAAGAAATCACGCAAGTTAAGAATGATATCGACGCATATGATGACAAACTGGTGGATTTACGAGGAGGTAAGGTCGACCGTTCATGGAAGTACGACATTTTTTACTTATCCTTCCTTCCACATGTCGATTCCTTCCATATCTTTCCATTTCCTTCCATATCTTTCCTTCCACATGTCGTGGAATTGAGCCGCATTCAGAACATCCTTCAGCAGAGTTTTTGGAAAATTTCATGAAGATTTAAGGATATTTTAAGGAAATTTTCTTTCTTGCTTTCAATCTTTATATAATTACACTTAATCAACTGATCGTTGGTCAAGTGTAATTACATGAAAGATTGTAAGAAAAATATTCATTTTTGGGTTTGATTTCCAGAGGATCCATTGTTTATACCAAAGCCGTACCGGGATGAGAAGGAAGTAACAAATTCTTCGGCGGCAATAGTAGAAAGAGAAAGAGCATCATTTACGACGTTTCCACGGATCATCCCGGTGGATCCTATTGGTCGAACTTCAGCACCCATCCAGTGAGCTATGTCTTCATTCATCGTACTAATTATAAAAGCGTAGAAATATTTCTAATTTTGGACTTCGATCACCACAAGCTTGGTGATTCAGTGTGACTCTTAGAAGTAATTTAGAAAGTAATTTGTTTAACCTTAGAAGTAATTTCGAGACATTAACCTGAATTTCCGACAACTTCAAATAGAATTTTTTGCAGCTTTTTTCAAAAGTTTTTATTTATTGTTGTTTTAATCTTACGTTTTGTGCAAAAGTCCAACAAATAGCCTAACTTATGCATTGAAAATAATCTTTCATTTCCACCAATTAAAATCTCCAAAGCTTTTTTTCTAGCCTTCATCTTTACATCTCACTGATTATTATGTAGAAAATATTCATATATTCATACTCTCTTACTCTTAAATTTATCCCTAACTTTTTGTATTTCAGGCGATTGTCGTTGCCTTCTGAGGTATGTTTTTGAATTAATAAAGTTTATATTGGTTTCAAAAATTTAAGCGACTTGTTGTTTGTGGAAACGTTAGATATTCACTTCATTCATTCACTTGTTGTAGTCATAACACTAACTTCAGCCACCGGTTCGACCACCAATACAACCGTTGCCATGGAAGGAATTCCCACTTCAGTCAACGTCTTTGTTACCAAAAACTGTTGCTCAACGACCGTTGCCAACAAGAACGTCATTCAAGTAGAATTATTATAAGAGCTTCACTTTTGCATGAGACTGAAAATTTAAAATGAAATTTGGTAATGACAGTGTTTTCCCTACACACTACTTTCTACTTTCATTATTTTTTTCATTTTTAATAAGTTCAGACCTGAAAAAAATCCACAGACGGTTCTCCTAATGTCTCGATTGCCTCAGCTTACGAATCAACCACAGGTGGGCGTTTCTGGAAGTTTCCTTCTGTTATTTAAAATTTTGCTCTAGACGAATTAATTTTGTCTTGTTTACTGCTAAAGCTTAACATTTCGTTTAAAGTATTTGAAATTTAATTTCGACCTTAAAGTCTGAAAAACCGAATACTTTTTCCGATCACGCAAGTTTATAGTAGCACCTCTTTTCATTTTTTTGCTTTCCCAGTAACAATTCCGGTTTGATTACCTACGAGCCATCAACAATAAAAACCGCATAAATACCTAATATCAGTGAACCGAAACGAATGATAACGCTCTTCGTTACTTTCATCTTATAGTCACTTATTTTATATATCTTACTTCTTTGTTTGCTGATATCATTGTTTACCAAACTTTAGCTTCAGTTTATCACTCTGATCCATTCGGAGAACTGACCAATCTGTTTCCTTTTTGTGCAGTCCAAAAATGACTACAGAATAAGTTGGCCTTGATTCCGAAGACAGAGAATTTTAAATCTCACGTAAAATTAAAATCTCATCCATAATGGGAAATAACGGGAAATGAACGACTTAACATTTTGCAACATTTTGCTTATGATTTATAATTCAATGCAATAAAATCAGGTTAACTTCAAACAGCTTCGAACCAGTTTCGTTCCACCGACATCAATAACAATATTACCGCATCCCACAGAATCAACACCGATCACACCACATGTACAACCATCACAACCATCTTCACGGATCGGTTTTCTATCAACGTCACATTCAACTTCCAGTTCTTTAAGAACAGGAGGTCTATTTTTTCGCTTTTTACCATAGCTTGTTTATTTGGTCATTAACTGGATCACAACCACATTGAATTTGACTTTAAGGAAATGCACTGTTGGAGTAAGGCATCATAATCTTAACCGAAAATTCTTGAATACCTCTATCCTTTTCTATGATAAGTTCACCGACGAGTGCCAGCAAAATAATCTGAGTGCATTTCAGTATGTCATGCATCCATTTTCTACATATCTACACCCATGCAAAGTCCCAAAAGACATTTCTTTACACATTTCGCTATCACTGTATCAACTGATCAGTGTGCAAGAACTTGTCATGAATTTAATTGTGCCGTAAGTTTCAATAGTTTTTGTGACTTTTTTTTACTTCGAAATTGAGCTTAATTGAAGAATTGCAGGAATTTTTGCGCAAAATTTTAGGTTGCACATTATGACCCGCTCACGGGACGCTGCCAGTTCAACCCATCGACAGCATTCGCAATACGTAAAGGGCAGTGTCCTCCATGGCCTGCCACTCATTACAAGTTTGTTTCCGACATAGCTACTGTATTTACCTGGGTTATACACTTCGATACCAGAAATTTCCAACTAAATTTTAATTTCCTTTGTCTTATGAATCCATTTCAGAAGTATATCGTCATCTTTGACTACATTCATTACTCTTTTACCATAATAGGCATCAGTAAAAACACCTGTTAGTGTCACTGAGATGCCACTTAAAGCTTATTATTATATACACCTTAGGACAGATCTTTCTAAGCAAAATTGTATAACTATTAATCTCGAAATAGAATTTTTTTGGATAAAATCAATTATAAGTAATTTATCACTTCACTTTCTTGTGTCTTTTTATTTCACTCTCAACATTCTTTTGTTTGGACAATACAAGACTATCGGAATACATTTAGAAATGGAAGCATTCAAAAAAAAGTTTCTGATTCAACTTTACAGTGATCAGTTATAATAAGGACATCACATTTGGCTCATCAATCAATTCCTACTCTTGTAGTTGCTATTAAAGGGAATAGAAATCTGCACTGTAGTCAAAGGAAGAGAACGGGAAGTGAGAAATAACAGTATAACTTAAGAGATGCGAAATATTGTAATTTGCAAGTGAAGAAATTTAAAGTAGATCTCTAAGTGTCGCAGTGTTTGAGTGCCAAAAAAAAAAAGTTATTAGAGCAGCGATATCGGACATTTGAAGTTTCACATAATTGTTGGGTTTTGCCTTTTGGAGATCGCTTAAAGCGTGCTATTTCAAATGCCTTAGCTGACATGTTTAAGTCTACAAACAATGATAGAAAGAGTGGATTATGAGAAGACTAAATAGAGAATAGAGATGAAATTTCAAGCAGTTCTGCATTATTCTAAGAAATGAAACTTATAAGTTGGAATTTCGAAATCGATCATTTCTTTCGGCATGGTTCTTTTTAATTTCATTATTTTAGAAATAATGTTCAAACAAGTATACCGCTTCGCGTATTTTGTGTGCAGTGTCATCGAGGTTGTAAGTGCGCTTCTTTCGACTTTAAAAGGAATAGTTGCTAAAAACACTATTTTTTTATAAAACAATCTGATGAAGAGATTGTGATAATACTTGTTTCTGCTAAAAAGTTCGGTAAACAATCCGTTATTAGTGTCAAACTTTAGGTAGTTCTCTTCATCATTATCATCTTTAGTTCGAAGAGGACGAGTACGCAGTCAAGGTCATTTCAGAACAGGTGTTTTGAGGGTTCTCTACAGTGGAAGGTATGCAAGCTTTTCGCTCAACAATTTGAATATTTTGATGTTGATTAGTTAAATTGTGCTTAAACGGTTTTATAATTCACTGAACTGCTGGAGTATTCAGAACATCTGAGCATACGATATCAAATATCCCATAACGTCTTTCCTTCATGTCAATTCATGCGTTAGACACCATGTTCATCATTTCCTTCAGGTTGCCGAGTTCGCTACAAAGAAGTGGACTTGCGCGGATGCATTCAATACTCTCAAAGCAACAAGTACCCTTTCGTAATATTACTTCAGAACTCGAAATACAACAAGAGCATATTGATAGTGAGAAGAAGCCTATCGATGATATCGATTATCACTGGAATACGAATGAAATAGAAGTGGAAACAAAAAATGCAACCAGTAATGGTATCTAGAAGCAATCAGAAAATGGTGAACACATTATTCTTTACTAAAATCTGATAACAGTAATTTTGCTTATCATAGCAATTTGAATCCGGAAGTGATCGGAAAATATTCCCGAAATTCACAAAAGCCAACTTTCGTCATAGCTTCATTTTTTATTCGTTTGTTTTCAATTAAAATTAAACTTTTTGTAATCATGATCTCTCATCACAGTGGTGATCTCGAAGAGAGCGTAATGCACGAAAGATTACAATTAAACTGATAAAAATAAAAATTTTCCCTAACAAATTTTTTATGATTGATGTAAACAGTTCCCACAACAAAACCTTTTCGAAAATATCCTTTCACTTGAATCCGGAATTATGATGATTTATTGAAACAAAATGTTAGTGAGCTTGAAGAATTCATTTTACCTTCATAAAAACATTAATTTTGTGGCTGATTTTACAAGAAAAAAGATATTTTGCCAATTCAAAGAGTGGTAATAAGGGGAAGATGGGATGATTGCATGGATGGTAATTAAATTTTTGAAAAGCTTTTAACAGTGTCATGACTCATCCATCATTTAATTTGTTTCCTTTTTTTCTCTTTCTCATCGAAACAGTCAGTTGCAGTAAAACACTAGAAGATTTAAAGTATGACCGTTTTTTTACTTTTGAATACAAAGAGTGAGTTTTGAAATTTTCGCTTAGTATTAACAAAAAAAAATTTAATGGAAAACTTTATGCATTTTCGTTTCATTCAATGAACTTCAGTAAGATGTTGAAATCCTTCTCCTAATTTTGATTTTTTAAAGGTTATAAGTTGCAGAATAACTGAATTATCTGTAAGGAGCCGAGGTATCCGTTAAGTGGTCGAAGCGGTTTTATTGCAATGAAACCTACCATAAATATTTCCGCAAACGTTTTTAAGGCAGTGCTATTTTGGATTTGTCAGGCAAAATTTACAACAGTTCTGTTTTTGTTTTGTAGTCATATGAAAAAATGACAGAGTTATTATTATATCAAAAAGGAACAATATCAATTTAATTAATTAATCTTATTTGAATGCCTAAAACGAGAACCTAGTTTGAAATTTTTTACTTGAAGAAAGTAATGGAAAATTTTTAGGAAAAAAAATAAGCTTTTGCTTTCGCCATGTTATGACGATATTTTATTCCTTTCATTGAATTGATTGCAATTCTGTTTATGAATGGTATTACCTTACCTTTTTTCTTTGTTTTTTCTTAGAAGATGGTCGTATTCAAGTCAAAATTTTAAAATTAAACAAAGTTGGGCTTTGGATTTCCACCTAAATTTATACATAAATATTTGATTGAATATATAAAATACACTGGTGACAAACCTTCCTCTTCGTGATTTCAATCTTTGCATTTTATATACCAAAGCTGTAAAAATAGCATTTTTCCATGCAAACATTGAAAAAGTTTAATATAATCACAGCTTTTCTGGTTTTCTATATGCTTTCTTAAAGTGAATCATGTTTGTCAAGTTTTTAATTTGTCAGCATATTTGCTTCGCGGATGATTATTTCTTGCATTATTTTCGAGTGTTTGATTGTTATTATTTGTTATTGGGATTCTAATGACACTATTCAAACTTGCATCTCTGCACATGAAATTCCCAATTCCTTTCTTTGTTTCAAACAAATCATACAAATTCCCCTCATTTAAATTAAATTATCATTGGGGCAGTGGGATGGGAATGCTCATTTTTTCTACATTAAAATTACATTATTCCATGGAAACTCTCATATTAATATATGCTAAGAGCGTTTTAACAAATTTTTTTAAGCAAAAAAAATTCGAAATTATGCAGTATATTTTCCTGAATAGATTTTCTGCTTATTTATTTATTTTTTATTTTCTGGAAACTAAAAGTTTCTTAGATTTGTTATTGGAAGAGATAAGGAGAGAAGAAGGACAGTACATCGTTTAAACGATTGGAAGCAAACCGCCTTCACCAATTCTTGAAATATGACATTACAAGAAACTTTTAGCTCTGGAATGATGGGTTTTATTATAGAGGGTATAAGTACCAATATGGTTACAACAGAAGGATATTTATGGAATTCAACTTCTCATCCACAACAGTTTCTATGATATCCACTCACTGATGAAAGGGAGACATGTAGCACGAAGACATGCAGCAATGATTTGATCTTGTTTATTTTTAAATATAAACATTTTTCAACTCATATTTTTACAGCAAATCACCGAAGCTGTAATTTGAGAATCCTATTTATTTTTAGAATACACTTATTTAAATTCCTAAATTGCCATCATTCGCTGAACTGGTTTTTGCGCAACAAAAATTATGCGGCACAAACAATGTTTACCATTCAATTTAGAATAAACAGTTAAATATTCTTAAATAATCTGCTTCAATAATTTTAATGAACAGTCTGTACTTATTGTTTTAAATGGAATTTATTCTAAAATAAGCTGGCATTCTAGTAATATTTACGCTGATTAGTGTCGTTTGTATCTATTTCCTTCTTTCATAGTTTATTTCCTGAAGGAACTTAGAAATGTGAAACTTTATTATTTTCATAACCCTTTGACCTCTAGCAATTGAATTTCACCACCGTGTTTGTCAAATGAAAAGAGTACAAAATGTCTAAATAGAAATCTAAAACTTTTTAAAAGCCTAAATAAAGGCATCATAGAAAAGGTTAGCAATAATATCTAAATTTGGTTTCCTTGATAGCCATTCGATACTGAACAATAGAAGCACAAGAACCAACACCAAATAGACTTGACAGCCAAAGGATTAATAAAGAAATAGGCATTCATCATTAATCCAATTCCTATTTATTTAACTATAATCTCTTACTAAAGTGATAACATCCTGACATTATTTTTTTATATTTTCTGAATATTTCGTTTAGTTTGCAATGTGATGCTGTAAAAGTTGTCGATCATATGATATTCTGAGTGCAATTATGCACCTACAAACTACTGGTAGGGAAATAACCAGAATTAAGCCATACTTACAAATCTATTCCGCAAATAAACCAATTTCAATTTTATTTTGTCAGTTTCAACTTGTTTCGTCACTTTTTCACTTTTGTTAAAAACTTGTAAAAAACTGAAAAAACTGAAGAACGTCTCTTTTGTCGCTTTTTTGCCACTTCATATCTTGTCAGTTTCAATTGTTTTGTCATTGAAATAACGATACGGTCGGATATGCATTAGCCTAATTTTCACCAGCAAAACAATAGACAGAAATTTTACCCATCCAGTTCGTTTCCTCTATGTATTGCTATTTCACCAAAGAAAGTAAAACAATAGAATCCTGATAAAAGCCTGGTATTGATTTAGTGAGTACTATTCTCATAAAGATGAAAAAAGCTAGCAAATCTCGAGGTCCAGTGAATTAAAAAGCTATTTTAGTTTCAATGCTTGGAATCCGGGCTTTATCATACGGTAGTGTTCTGCATCATCTTTTGTAACCACTGTCACTAAGGAAAAAAGTACCTATACAGCTCATTGGGTGACCTGGAACAGATGATAAAAAGGTGATAGAAATTATTCCAGTCATTTTATTTAAAATAAGAAGGGTCTAGTTAGTATTAAGTGCACTGGCAAAATTTATTTTGAGTGGAATTCTTTGTATCATTTTTTAAAAAATGCAAAGCAAATAGTTTCAGGAATTGAATTTTAACCTCCAATTTTCTGTCCTAACGATGACATTCAGTAATAAGAGAATTTTCGTGCACGATCACATAGCAATAAAGCAGAGAAATCCATCAAGCTTTTGCAAAGCTTTATAGATTGAAAAATTTATTTTCCTTGGGAACAGGTTCCCTGACGAGAAAAGATTATATGTAGCACATTTTTAATGAGTCGCTCCAGAAAGTGCTAATGTTTTTGGCGGTACTCAACTTCCTCAGAAAACTTTGGTTCATTTCCCGATTATGTTTAAATATTTTTGTGTCAACAGGTAATAAAGTTGTTGGATATTAAAGATTAGAAATAAAAAACAAGCATATCTGCTTGTCAAAAAGTTGCAAGCAGAGATTCTGTAACTTCACTGCTTAAGAAAAAATGCGATTGTTAACAAACATACAGCACAAAAAATCATACACAATTTCCAATCATTCATGATTTGAAAATCCAGTGCTTCTAGAGAAAATCCCTTGTGCAGCAGAAAGCAATGTAGGAAAAAAGCCATTGCAGATGTAATCACCCGAAAAATCAAAAATCCATTGTTTTCTCGGCCTTATGCCTTTAAAATTTCACATATTTTCATCTTCTCCCAATCATTTTCAATCGTTATGTAGTGGGATTTAAGGATGGTAAAGTTTAACCCAAGGAAACAGTGGTAGAATAAAGTTGGAATTAATCTCACCGTCATTGCATTATTATCATTATCACGAACATTATGTAGCATTACTGCATTCAATCCAAAATTATTAGATGCAGTTTGGGAATTGTATCGCTTTTGCTATCGAAAAAGCAGCCAACAAACATTTTGCGCTTGTCTGGCTTCAACAGAATGTTTCACTTGGCTGTCGACCAACATTCAATCATATCATTTTTTTTTTTCATAAAAAAGTTTAAGTTGCAGGCTGCAAATTATGTAAAAAGGCATAGAAAACCGGCACCATTTATCACTTTTGGAACTGATAACACACAGTAAACACTTTATACACAATATAATCTTGCATCATATACTTATCACTCATTAAAAACGATCAGTTTGATAACTAATAAGATAAGTGCATTTTGTTCAATTTTCCATTTTCTTCA